GAAGAAAGGGGCTGCAGTTCCCTAAAAAGGGAGGAAACCCTGTCTGCATAACTCCCAGAGGAACCTGAGGCTGCTTCCTGTGTCTTATCCAAGCTTCTTTTGGGACATACTATGGCATATGAAAGAATATTGCTCTGTCTCCTGAAGGACTTGGAGAAATTTTTGCTTTAGTGTAAAGCCTTGCAGTGAAACAACGTAAGGCAAGGAACTAAGCTGGAGTACTCCGTGGCTGTGCATTCTAAAGATGTGCTTTGTTTTGCCTTGTTGGTGGAACAGATGTTCCTGCAGGGCACAAGTATCAGGAAGATTTTGCTGAAGCTATTTAAAATGTTACTCCACAGCTAACTGCCCTGTCTCTTTTCTGTAGCAAACTTCTCCTTTAGTAGAGCTGCTGGAAGATAACTCACATATCCCTCTGACACTTTTATGCAAAAGTTGGTTTCTCAGTGTAAACAGCTGATGAAAGTGATTGCAAAGCCTTGGCATAAGTATGATTCCTTTAAATCTGTGTCTGCTTTGTGTCAGTGACCTTTGGAGGTGAGATGATGACCTCTAGGTCTGTCTGTTCATTGATCACAACAGAGATCTGATGATGCTGACACCTGGGCCTTCTTATCTAGCTGCAAAGAGCACATAAGGCAGCTAATTTCTGCTAATTTGTTTGAGGTATGGACTGAAAAATTTTACAGTAAGTGATTGTAGTTAGCTATATACAAGGCTTTTTCCTCATAGCCAGCAGCAGTCATGTCTCCTTATCTAGCTGCTGCCGATTAAACCTTGTCTTGGTTCTGTGCACTGCATGTGTGACTCCCCTAGCTGTGAGTTCTGAAAGTCAGTGAGGTCGTGAAATTGGGTACACCTGGTATAGGCAGGACTTCCAAGTCCTTAATGTAGAGCTATTGATGTGAAGAGAATGCAAAGTGAAAGTCTGTCAGTAAGCAGACTGGTGGCAGGCAGTTTTTCCTGTACAGTTTCAAAAATGGAAGTATCAGAGGAAGTATTTGCATAGCAAAGCTTTTGAGCAAATGCAGATCTCCCTTTGAGGATCACTGGGCACTGTGAAACTCTGGTAAAACTCAGGCTAGCTTGGTTTGAGTAGCACTGTTTTCATGGAGGTCTCCTCATTGTGCAGCCAGTCCTTCCATGTGGCAGACTGTTTGAGATCTTGTCCTCACATGCAGCTAAGTTTCTTCTTAAGTAGATGAGCCAGGAAACTGTGTCATGCATTGAGCCCATTGCTTCCAGCATACTGGAGAGAAATCTGAGGCTGAAGTAAGCCACTCCTTCAGCTTGTTTGTACCAGTCCTGCATGAACCCATACTTCAGAAGCACCAGCTTTGGTTGTTCACAAGCTCTTAATGTCACTGCTGGGATGTTCTTTTTTCTCCAACATCCAGGGCTAGCAAGAACAAGTTTTCCTTTTCACCTTATGCCCTAAATATTTACTAGAAATATTTTTATTTAATCGCCGTTGTAACCTGGAATAGACATCAGAGCCTTGGCAAGCTCTGCAAGGATGTGAACTCCTTGGCGTGAATTGATGAAGAGTTAACCTTGGTGTAAATTCTAGCAAAGGTGCAGAGGGCAGAGACATTGGCTATTTGATTGCTGCATGTCATTGGGATTAAATTTAGTAAATCCAGTTCTTTAGGTCAGTGCTAGCAGTGTCCTCTTCTTTAATTTCCCAAATCCTTCCTCAGCGAAGTGCTCTGGAGTGGTACAAAGAGCTTAGTTGACTTTAGCTCTGCTTATTTCTTTGGTGCTCATGAACGTTCTGTTATCTACCTGGGGAGATGATGCAGCTTTAAACATAAGGCTGACCTGTCTTTCTCAGAAGGTGCTTGTCTGTTTGGATAGAGAGGTCCAAACTGTCTTGCTGCATTTTCCTGGACAGAGCAACAAGATCATGTTGGGTTTATCAGCCTGCATGATGCTAAGTTATTAGAGAACATTATTAAGGTATTAGAGAGTGTCCAGAGGAGGGCAGTGAAGATGGTGAAGGGCCTTGAGAGGGCTGTATGAGGAGCGGCTGAGGTCAGTCTGTCTGTTCAGCCTGGAGAAGAAGAGACTGAGGGGAGACCTCATTGCAGTTTCAACTTCCTCCTGAGAGGAAGAGGATGGTCAGACAGTGATCTCTTCTCTGTGGTGACCAGTGACAGGACCCAAGGGAATGGCCTGAAGTTGTGTCAGGGGAGGTTTAGTGAGATATTAGACAAAGATTCCTCACCCAGAGGGTGGTTGGGTGCTGGAACAGGCTCCCCAGGGAAGTGGTCGCAGCACCAAGCCTGACAGAGTTCAAGAAGAATTTTGACAATACTCTCAGGCACATGGTGTGACTCTTGGGCATGGTCCTGTGCAGGGCCAGGATTTGGACTCAGTGATCCTTGTGGGTCCCTTCCAACTTGGCATATTCTGTGATTCTGTAAAGTTCACTTGGCTTTAACTTTTGTTGCTCTGACAAATAGAGAATTGGCTTGGTGAGGAGACTGCGACAAAGCTGCTTGTGTCAGGGACTTGAAGAGCCACACATGGGACACTGTTCTGTGGTGTGCTTACTGTCTGCATGTGTCTCTGCACAGACCTGAGCCAACAGTGTGCTGCCTTTTCACCCCCACTGTGGCATGTGAAAGGTGTATGACATCCGTTACTGTCCTGCTAGCTGAAGGAAGAACCATTCTGGGCTAGACTGTGTAGGGCCCACAGCCTGGTTGGAAGCCCTTGGCATTGTGTGAAACCCTCAGCTGAAGGGAGAAAGGGATTGAGACCATTCCTAACTGTTATGGTGAATATTCATACCATTACATCATCTGAAGAGGGTATGCCGTGTTCGAGGAGGGGGGGTGTTTTGCTGCGGGGAAAGAGTTGATCTAGGGTCTCAACCATGGCCAGAAACCGTCCCTGCCTTGCTGGGACAGCAGCAAAGCTGGGAGCCACTGACTCGCTGTGTTGTGCTGGAATCAAAGCAGCCCAGGGGTCACCCCTGCCCCAGCTGCCACGCTGCCACAGTCTCACCGGCACTGCCAGAGTGCCACCTGGGCCTGCCACTGCCAGAGTGCCACATGGAACTGCTGCTGTTCACTTGCCATGTGGAATCGCTGCCTGTGCCGGAGCCCCTGCTGCCACTACACAGCCCAGTCAAGCCAAGTGGGCCAAGGCACTGCATCGGGGGTAACATGTGGCAGAGAACAAGGAGACTCTGAACTGGTACCACCACTGCAGTTTTAGTTTAGTTAACTAAATCGGATGGAGTGGCCAGTTTGGTGGTGTGGCTCCTGTGAGCAGCGCAGTTCTGGTTTTTTTGCTTTTGCCCCTGTTCTTCCATGGTTTTCTTTTGTTTGGTTGGGTGGACAGGGTGGTTGGCAGGGAGGACCCTCCACCATTCTCTTTCCCCTTTTTTCCTGGGGGACCGCGTGATGCGGTAAACTCTTTTTTTGTGGGTAAGCCATTGCCTTTGTATCTTTGTGGTGCTGCTATCTTTCCTTGTTAGTAAACTGTTATTTTTTCACTTAAAACCTCCTTGCATTTTTTTTGTCTCTCTATATTGGGAGGGGGGGCTAATAAAAAGGGGAGGGAATTCATTTTATTGGAGTTCTCCTCCCAATATTTGTCTTTAAACCAAGACACTAACCCCTTTGAGATTCGAAGAGCAGTCTTGGCTTCTTGCCTTCCTATAAAGTTAGCTGTGGCTTGACTTTCCTGCTTCCTGAACAACTCAAGCCACTATAGTTGACTTTCTTCTTGTCTTTGGCACCAGGCTGTCAGTGGTGGCTTGTGTGTTGGGTGAATGTAGCACCAAATTACATCCTTTCATGACCCTTCGGGAGCTTTCTTTTGAACACTGCTTTTTTTTCCAGACAAGAGACTGCTATTCCCAAAGACAAGATGCAACACAGCTGCCTCTCCAGCAGTGGATGCTGAATTTGACCTGCTGGTGGGTCACCTGCTCATCACAAATGATGTTTCTGAAGCAGGACTTGAGACTTGCACAGCTTGCAAAGGTTTGCTTTGGGATTACTTGGAGCAGAGACCTCAGCTATGCTGTTAATAGATCCATCCCAGCCCTTGGCCCAGAGCTCTTCACTGGCCTTTCTTGACTGAATGGTTGTTATAAAGGCTGAAATTGTTACTGCTAATAGGAGTTGCAATATTGCTGTAGAAAGGCAACAACTCTCAGAAGAGGAGTGTTTGTGGGGAAAAAAACATGCTCTTTGTGGCTTAGGTCAGGGCCCTTTACATTTAGAAGTGCTGGTCTATGAATGACTGAACATGGGGTCAGACTTTATTGCTGTGTTAAGGGACCAGCTACCCGAATCCTTGCACCTTAGTCCAGTGTAAGCAATAATCGGCCCATGGCTGAAGAGTGAAGGCTGAAGGAATGGTAGATGCCCACGTAGAGAAAACCATCATTCTCCTCAACCTGAATATAATCTGTGGTCTGCCAGAGATTAAATATCATGTATTAACCTACATGAAACTATTTTGTTTAACCTCAGCAGAATTATGCTTTGGGAATATGATTAAGTTTATTCATCTTGGCATTTGCAGTGATGCCCTTTCATAGTGTAGATTAGCTTTTGATTAAAGTAGAAGCAGTAGTTAGACTGTGTCATTTCTGGGCTGTCTGTCTTTCAAGACATCCTTATCCGTACTTCTGCCTTGAAAAAAGAACTTCTGTCTACCTCTTGCATTCCTGATAGATATGTCTAACCTTTTCCCTAGCACTGGAGACTCTTAAAACTTGTGCATGTGTGTATCCCCAGGCAAACTATCCTGCTGTTGTACAGCTTTCCTCGGTGTTGTTGTCACACGTGCTGTGGTTTAGACTTGCTTCTATCATGGCTTTGTGAAGGTTATCACAGAATAAAGCAAGTGTAACGAGTTCCTGGGTGTGCTTGAAAATGCAGCCAGAGTGTGGATGGGTCATTACTGAATCAATGACAACATGTGTTCATGTACACTTTAGTTTTGGAAAAAGAGATACACAACTGGATAGCAATACATTCAGTCAAGGCAGGTCTTTGTCACTTTTGAGTATCTTTCTCAAGGAAAAAACAACCATGCACTTTGAGAGAAAAGCTCTATGGTGGTTCTGTACATTCTCCACTTTAGTATTGATGTCAACAGTCCAGGTAAGGAAAAACACATGGTGGTAGATCCCCTGTAAGTCAGGGTCTCACGGGGAAAGCTGTTGGTGACAGTGGAGAACAGGAACATGTACTTTCTGTAACCAAGGTGTTATCCAGACCTCAAAATAGCATCTCAGCATCTGCAAATAAATGGAAAATTGGTGAGAAAGTTCAGGTGTCTGTGGGTTGGTCTCAGCATTGCGGGCCATGATGGGGCAGGAGAGGAGAGCATCTTTTTGTCTGCCCACTTTATCCCAGGAAGAGTACTGTTTGCTAAGTAATCATGTCTAGCAGGAAAGCCTGTGTAAGGATTTCCCCCACCTAGAAAACCTCTAGCACCTACTGTATTTCTGCACACGTTCACCCAGGGATATGGGTTAGGTGGATGTGTCCAGTTCAACTCTTTGCAGACAAGAGCTGGCCCTGGATGCTTGAGAGATGATAATCCTACCGCACCCTGGCTGGCTCTGCAGAGAAGAGGCTTGTACATCTACAGGGACTTGGCAGAGCCGGTCTGAAGGTGATTATACAGCTAGAGATGGCCAAGAATCACCTCCAGTTACTTCAGCAGTTATTGAATACCCCAAAGGAATTGGACACACCTGTTGCAGGTTTTTTTTCCTCTGGAAGTGACAGCTGTCCAGGCTGGAGTGCTCCCTCTTCTCACACACAGTGCGTTTGATTTCCACATGGAGCATGTATTTCAGCCCTCTGACAATCTAGAGAAAGTAGTTTCCTCCTTTAAAGTAAGGGCAAGGGAAAGAGATGCCAAAATTTTGGCTAGGAATCAAGTGCTACATCTGAAAATTGTGTGTCACCTACGTAGAGCCCTCCTGTGTAGCAGGGCGATAGAGGGACAGCTTTAGGCATTCATAGCAGTCCTGAGGAGGATCAGGGCTGCCATGTCTTAGGTGTGCCATAGGAGGGTCAATTAGAAAATGGGTTGAAGGACCTCCAGAAGTGTGCTCTTCTTACCTGTACCATGGCTTTGTTTATTCGTGAATCCTTAAACAGAAAGAGGTCATTGGAACTGTTGTTGTATCTATAAACCCCAAAGCGAGCTGCTTTGCGAACACCAGGGCTGTTGATGTTTGCTGGGATAGGGGAGCCAGGTTTCATGGTTGAATGAGGTGGTGGTACATGTATATCTGAAACAACACGAAACGTGACTGTAAAATACATCAGCTGCCTGAAAGGGTGGGACCTTTAGCCCTCTTAACGTTCTTACCTGTCCAATGCTTTTTGTGCTTTAGAAGGACTCTGCTCACATTCATTAAAAGTAATTTTCCTTTTTATGTTTGAAATGGTGAAAGAATCCGGTGGAATGAAGTGACATAAAAAGCTGCTGCCAGAAGTGATAGCAGAGCTCAAACTGACTTAGAAGAAGCCAGAGTATCACTAATATTATTTAAAAGGTCTCTGGTACAACTCCCAGTTTATAGAAGGACTGACTTTGAATCTACTTATAAAGATAGATCAGGTTGTTCTGAGTACAATATAGTTTTGATAACATATCAAACACTGGCTAGAGAGCCCTGCTGCTCTTAGTTTGCATATCTTATCTTGCAGATATAAGTTCTTTCTCACCCACACCACCCTTAAGCCTTTGATAGCATCTTGAGGTTTTTATGTTAGAAGCATTTAGAGAGTGATCAAGGTGAGGGGAAGATGCCCTCATTGTATATACTGACAAAAGACAGGGTGTCCCTCTTCTCCAGCTGGGCAGGGGAGGGCCTGGGGCAGAACTTGGACTAGTTCCTCACTGTAAAATGAGCTGCTTTGAGAATTGAAGTGCTGTTGCCCCGACCCAAATGTCAGGGACCATCTTCTGTCAATGTCAAGATCCCACATGGAATACTTCATCAAACTCTGGGGCCTCCAGCATAAGAAGGACATAGACATGTTGGAGCAAGTCCAGAAGAGTGCCATGAAGATGATTAGGGGATGGAGCACCTTTCCTATGAGGAAAAGCTGAGAGAATTGGGATTGTTCAGCCTGGAGAAGGTTCTTAGGTGACCTTATTGCAGCCTTTCAGTACCTGAAGGGAGCCTACAAGAGACATGGAGAAGGACTTCTGACAATGGCATGTAGTGACAGGAGAAGGGGTAATGGCTTTAAACTGGCAGAGGGCAGGTTTAGATTAGATATTAGGAAGAAATTCTTCACTGAAAGGGTGATAAGACATTGGAACATGTTGCCCAGAGAAGTTGTGGATGCCCCATCCCTGGAAGTGTTCAAGGCTAGGCTGGATGGGACTTTGAGCAACCTGGTCTAGTGGAGGGTGTTCCTGCCCATGACAGGGTGTTTGGAATAGATTATCTTTAAGGTCCCTTCCAACCCAAACCATTCTGTGATTATCAAAGTCATGAAGTGGAGAAACAAGTTGTGGAAGAAATGGAAGTTGGGGGGTGTGAAGGTTAACCCATTGCCTTTCACATTAGAGCACTTCATAGAATCATTTACTGTATATTTTTACTTGGTTGTGTAGCTATTTCCCCATGCCCTGCTTATTTTTCAATAATTGAAAAGAAGCTGGAAGCTTACAGTTGATATCATTATTTCATCCCCTTTTACATTTGGCTTCCTCTCCATTTTCCATTTTCCCACTTCTGAAATCAAAGAAGAGTAAAAAATCCTCAGCCTGCACAAGGAGCCGTGCAGCCGCTGCTAATGCTAAGACCTGCCAGTGCAGGAGATGATGCTCAAGTTCATGCTGTGTTTGTGCAGGCAGTGAGCCTGTGCACACAGAACTTGTACTGAATCCGTTGTGAAAGTCAAGCTTTTTATCACCTCTAGTGGTTTTTCACAAATAGATTACTCACTCACAGCCAGTTACACAGAGCATAGACTCTAAGCCAATTTGCACTGAGAAACCTAAGTAGAAGACAGGGTCAACTTGGTGATCTATTTAAAAAATAGATTATTTAAAAAAAAAACCAAACCAAACCAGCATTGCATGTCATCATCATCAGCATAGAAATTTGCAAAAATTTATCTTACAGGTTGCTTATATATGTCCTAGTTACACTATCACATCCTCCTCCACAGGTGTTAATTGCTGCACCTACTTGCAACACTGTTCAAGGATTTACATCTTGACCTGAAAAGACTCAGTTCTACATCCCTCCTCAACCCAAGGATGTCCAAATTCATCTCTCTTCCTGGCTGATACCACAGCTACCTTAATGACTTCCATGTTTTCTTGCAGATGGGAGCTGAGATACCATGTGTTTGAAAGGAGCAGATGTTCTCCACGTGGCTTTGTGTTTGGTGTGGAGGTGATGAACTTTCCTATCCCATGTCTCTGATCTATGTTGGGACTGGGTATGCAGCCATTGCTGGGCAATCTGGTGGTGTTTTTTCACCTAATAATCCAGAATCCACCGGTGGGTCCCAAGATTATTCTCTATGGGACGGTATTTTCCCACTGTAGCAAGGATGGGATTCAAGAGTCACAGAAGCTTATGACCATGGAGCCTTGGACTGAAGGTATTTCTTAAGCAAGCACATCTTACCCAGTTGTCAAAGGGGGTTAAGGCACTAGGATCCACAGGTGATTCAAGAGGGTCATGCAGGACCTGCCTGAAGTCAGAAAGGAAGTTTGAGGTAGAGCCAGGCTTTGGTTTGCCCATAAGGCCAACTGTCCTTTCCCTCAGGAATGCCATGCTTTTTCCTGTGCCATCAATACCAACCCAACAGCTTATAGGAATCAGTTTTATCCTGAGCTCACCTAGCAACTGAAATAGTCTGCCAAGCTAAAAGCAGGTCACTGCCCTGGGTTCTTCTTGCTGCTCACCAGGACCTTGCTTGAATCTATGCTTTCACACCTGTTGGAACGTCAAGTGTGGCAGTGATGGGGGTGTTAACATCAGATACTCTTCTTTGTAGAAGAAATCACAGGCTTTTTCAGTCTTAACACAAGGTCCTTTTGTGGCTTTTGAGAGCCCTCAGCACCTCTTGAGTCATGGTGATGTCTTTTACAGGCATGGGGTGCGAGGGTGAGTGAGACTGGCTGAAATTACACTTTATAGGAAGAAAACTATCACATGTGTTACTCAAATCAAAAGTCAGAGTCCAAAGTGACCTTGTTCCTGACTCCAGTGCCTAGTAGATTGATCAGTGTCACATGTGGCTACATGTCTGAAATGCATCTTTACCCTCCTATTTTCCTTCGATGACTCAGATTCCTTAAGGTTAGGATTCAGTTTTCTTTATGTGCTTTGCTTCTCATTCAGGATGGTCACTGCATGGCACACACACTGGACTGAAATCACTTTTACTGTTTGAAATAGTTTGCAGTACTATATTTCCAAAACTCAGAAACTCTCTGATGTGAGGCACCTGTACTCTCTGCAACCTTTTCTGTCTGTTTCTTCCCTAGCTTGGCCCTTGAGTGCCATTACCTTAAAAAGTTGAATTTGTGTAAGGTGATGACCGAGCTCCGGGCACAAGGCAGAATGGCTCAGAGGGTCAGATAGCAGTGCAGGGCTCTAGGCATACCAGCATTGCTGAAACAATTGTAATCCAGTCCTGGGCAGGAGCAGAGACACTGCATGACCTGCCCAGGCACCTACAATACTTAGAGGCCCAGAGGATGTGATCTCATGACTTGGGCAGAAAACTCTTGTGGGTCTACCAGGAGATACTTAGGGCCAGAGCATACATATTTCAGACCCCATCATTGCTTCTGGATTTATAAATGTGAAGAGAGAGAGAAAGAGAGAGAAGCCAGCCCTCCTCCTGCTCCTCCTCTTGGATGATGGTAGGGTTAGATTCTTTTCTTTGCTCAAACTTAACAAGGAAGCGAGGACTGTTCTTGCAGAGATGAGCTGAATGTTGTATTAAGAGGACCTCTTTTGTGCTTTCTTCCTTAAGTAATACTTTCAGGACCTCGTTTCTGCAGTATGAGAGAGCAATCCTGTAGATGCTCCCTCCCAGCCCGCAGTGAAACAAATAGGCAGATTGAAACAGGTTGATTTTTTTTTCCATAAGGTGCTTTCAAAACCTCTTCCTCGTTACTAGAAGCAAGGCTAGGCCTTATCTTTACACTTAAGATGCAGCAGAGTCGCTGCATGCCTCTGCAACACCTAAGGGAAACCACAGCAGAAACAAAAATCTACTGGCTAACCAAATACCACCCCCAAGTGCATCAGTATTTTCAGTATATGGGAGGCAAAGTGAAACTGAAGTAGAACTAAAACCTTCAGAGAAAAACACTCCTGCCTGCAGCTCCCATTCTAAAGATTTAAGGGCAGCTGCAATTAAGTTTCCTTGCTCAGCAAAGAAAGAAACGATACAGAATAATGCTTCATTAAAGTCAGCTAATTGACACTCAAGTGCCCATCTGTACCTAGCAATCAAGTTGTTACCCACAATCTTTAGATTTAGTATTTAAGGTCACACAGAGTTAAAACCGTTGACTTTAAAATCCCTAAATGATATCCATGGAGATAGCATGCTTAACTACAAGGAAAGTCTTTTAAGCAGTTGGATTTTTAGCTGCAGTCTCAACACTGCAGTGCTGAGCCAGCATGGGCAGCAGTTGGAGAACGGCTGTTATTGACCAGTGCATTAGGTAGCAGCACTCACAGAACCTAAAACACAAGGACAAAAGCAATTATTTTTCACTCTTACCACATGAAGTCCTGTTGAAGCTCCAAAGTGTTAAGCAGCAAAGTACAATACAACTGTAGATGAAGTTCGCTGCCATCTCCACCACTTCATAGGAGCCTGGCAGACAGGGGAGTGACTGCCCTACTTCCTGCTGGAGAAGATATGCCTCTGTGAGTGCTCTTATTGGCTGTGGGGGAAAGAAAAAAAATCACCCTAAAACCCCCTGAGTCATCACAGCTCTGACGTAGATCATCTGCCTCCTGCTGATGACCACATACATCGAAGCCCAGCCACAAAGCTCTGGCTTGGTGATAGCAGCACCAGCCTTGCATTAGACAGGGACTTTTGCTTTGTGATCCTCAGGGGTTTTGCAGAAGCATAGGCAGATATGTGTGACCTAATACTGGGAAATGGTGTGGGGGTGAGGAGTGTAAGAGTCATGTGCTTTGAGGGGGAAACTTAATCGCTAAGAAATGGGCAGTGAGCCCTGTGGATGTAGGTCTTGGCTTGTATATGTGCATGTGGAGAAGCCTGACAGAGATGATGAGTCCAGTGTCTTACTTCTCCTGATGTGGAGATGTGGGGTTTGGGTGAAAGACACACAAAAGTTTTAGGGCTATCTACCCAAGAGGACTGAGTGGAGCAAAGCTGGCAGGAAGAAGATTTTGGTTTTGATGGTAGAGGAGAACATCGTACCCTACATTTACAGAAGGTGTTATGACAGTAGGAAAGGGCTGTGTTAGGTTCAGAGATGAGGAGGTTTTCTCTAGGTGCTCTCCAGAAACCAAGGGAAACATGAGGAGAGGGGTATTTTGTCTCTCTGTTTTGCAGAGCTTTTCAGTTCTAGGGTTGGATTCCCCAGTGTCAGTATTTGGTTTCCAGAGAGTTGCTCTCTAGGCAGTGTTGACCCATGCTGAGAAGCTTGAAAAACTGGGGAAAAGGCTTGGCTGCCAGATTTGTGGTCCACCTGAAATAAAGCAGCTGACAGATTCAGGGGACCAGGAGATGAACTATTGTCTCACTGAAGGGCTTAGAGGGGTGGACCTCAGTCTGTGTGTGCGCGTTTGCTTCAGGTGATACTTAAAAGCAGCAGAAACAAAGTCCAATCTTGTTTGCTTGAGATACATCTCTTATCTAATTCTCTATGACTTCTCTAAGATTATTTGAGAATACTGGAATGCTGTGAGTAATGTTTCTATTCCTCCTATCACAGGTGAACAGGAAGGTGATGGTTGCCTTTCACTTGCCCCGACAATGAATCCTGCTCTTTTTTGACCAAAGGCCTCCTCAAATAAGGTCCTAATGCAGGGCAATGTGCATGGTGTATAAGAGGCTTGAGGAAAATAATCTTAGAGTTTCCTTGTAGGAAGGGATTAGTAAACACTCTATTGAAATGTCCCACCAGGAAAGAAAGGGGAAAGCATGGTGTGTCATATTTATCGTCAGCCCTTCTTGCACAGTCTGCTGAATCAGATTCTAAACCCTGCGGAAAACACTGAGATAGAATGAGAAGGACAATATTGAGAGGGTTTTGCCTCCTCCTCCTCCTTTTTTTTTTTTTTTTAGAGCTGACATAGTAGCCTGTCCCATGACTGCGACACAGGTAGAGACTCAATCAAGTATTTTCAGGCCTCCCTTTCTCCTGAAGAACTGTGCTCTACAGTTTCTACCTCACTGAGAGATTCTGGAAGAGTGTCTTCTTAAGCCTATTGTCTGGTCCTCTAACATGCAAGAAAGATGTGGTTGGGACCCTCGTCACCAGATCCCTACCATGTGATGCACCAGAAAGGGGTTCAGGTCCCGCAGGACCTCCATTGCATCTCCTTTTGCTTCCTGGTGTGCTCACAGTGGCCTTTTGATTTGAGTTGAAAGGGGCCTACTGTGAGTGATTTGGGGGGATCTTTCTGGAGTGCAGATTCCTTCCTCACTTTAAACAAGTGCCTGGGGCACCACGAGCAGCCCTTTGACAGTGTGAGTGGGGATGGTGACTAGCAGAGGTAATGCGTGCGCTGACGTGCACGGAGCTGTGGTGCTGTGTAGCTGTGGAGTTGCACGGCCACCGTAATTCGGTGATGGCACTAGAGGGCACCAGGCGGTAATTCCCGGTGCTGGAGCCCAGTCTCCCTCTTCGGAGGACATTCTCCCCGCCTTCTTCCCTCTCCCCTTCTTTCCATAAAATCGATCATTTATAGCTCCTCCACATCAAGTTTTGTATTTTTCTATTGCCCCTGATTTTGTTGAGGAAATTTCTCCTTTTCTCCTAGGAAGTAACAGAGTGCTCACTAATGAGTAGTAGTATTAATAGTGCTGAGTACTATTATGTAAAAACCACAAAGAACATAACATCAAAAATCCCCCCAAAAAACTCCCTTCCCCCAATAACAGACAAACAACAGCAAACTCCTCTATATGGATATACTTGTTTTTTTCCTTGGGAATTTTTGTGCTGTGGAAAAATTTGTGACTGGAGACTGGGACTATTGTCCCTTTGTGATGTCTCATTCCAAACAGGTATAATTTCCTAAGATACTGCTCTTGCCCCAAATCCATCTGCAGGAGGAATGGAGGAGCATGATGTCTTGTCTGACATCGAACCTCAGAAAATGAGTCAGATACTCTTATCATTGAAGGTCCTTCAAGGTCACTGATAGGAATTTCATCCACTTTCCCTGGAACGCATGTGTAGTTCACTTCCTGCACTCCAGAACAGGGCATGTGGGGCACTCTGTGGAGTAGTTTCCACTCGCTAAATTTCCCATTATGTGACTGTTTCCTGTGTGAGCAGACATCCTGAACAGGGAGAGGATAAGTGGGCAAGGAAAGACTCACTGATTATCCCAGGGTAAACAGAGCATTTGCTTTAATCAAATAGCTAGTCCTGAGCCAGTCTAAATCAAACTTGTGATCTTTCTGCATCGAGCTGGATTATATAGGCCTTAAAAGTCTTGCACACACATGAGAACCCTCGTGTTTGTTTTTTTGTGTGAGTAGATGTTTGTTGCAAGTTTATACCAAGCCTGCTCTCTTTTCTGCAAGGGAATTTGCAGGGTCATTACCTTCTTTCTCTCACTGTTAGTGTGAGTTACTAGAGGCTTTGGAAACAGTGGGTAACTGTGAGGACTTTTTCGATTAAAATAAAAAAAACCCCACCATACTTCTATTATCCATAAACCAAGGATATAATTATATTCTCCTTTTTACTGAAGAAGCAAAATCCACAGTATTGATATTTGATTTTCATGACATTTGGTGCATGACGGGGACTTCTTCATCATCACTTTTTCCTTCAGTTATTCAAGGCCAGACCTTCTTCCACACAGCACAACCAAGCAGTTGCTACCATGGCTTCCTAGAATAATGCCAACTGGATCTGCAAGGGATCCTGTTGGAATTATACTCCTGTAAATGGAAACCACAATATTTAATTTTCAGTTTTTAAGCCCTAAACTTGAAAGAAATGGGTATGACATCTTCCACACTCAAGACCTGCACTTTGCAGATGCCGAAATACGTTGAGATGCAAAGGAAAGACAATTCAAGAAAGAAGGACTAGGATAAACAACTGAGGTAAGGACTCAGCTGCTCCTACAGCAGGAACACCTCACTAGCCCACCTTTTGTAAGTGGAAAACCATACTGTTCGTATAGCAGCAGCTTTACAGTACGGGGTAACCCCGACAAGCCACAGAATGCTTGAAACCCTTCTGAGCAGGTATGTGGCTGAACAAGTTTGATGAGGTATATGGGAAGAGGAAAATGGTACAGCGCATATGTCCCTATGTAGCATAAAGTCAGCAGTGTGAATATGTGTCTGTGTACTCACTAACAGTAGGATGAATAGGAGAAATTGGTGAGTTGACCTCAAAGCAGAGAATTTGTCTCATACTCCCTTGCCTTTTCTGCCAGGTGTTCTGTAGCTCACCAGCACACCCCACCTGTGCCTCCACTGCAGAAGTAACTGATTTTTCAAAGGGATCAAGGCTCATGCAGTTGCATCTGTTTTTTAATACCAGCAATAACTTCTGAATTTCCATTAAATATGAAAGGAGTCTGGAAGACTTGAAGATAATCTGGTTACCATACATTTCTTGAGAAGAGAAGAGAGGAGAGAAGTGAAGAAGAAATTACTGGCTGGGCTGAGGAGTACAACTGTGACATCATTCAGTTTATCTGCCAGCAGCACTGTCAGCTGCTGTGCAGATATTGCCTATAGATTGCACTGTGGGTTATTTATAGGATGGGTCATATGTTAAGACCCCTCCATGTTTTACCTTGAGGCTATTTTAGTAATTTTGACATTAACAAACCTCCCATGCTCTCCATCTGAAGAGCACAGAAGCATTAGTTCTGTTAGCTGGCTGGGGTCCTGTTTGGAGACTGACCTAGTTAAATATGTCTTATAACTTTGGAAACTGCCTGGGCAGAGCCACAGGCTTAGGCAGACAGTTAATCACAGAATGTTCTGAGTTGGAAGGGACCCACAAGGATCACTGCGTCCAACTCTTAAGTGAATGGCCCATACAGGGATCAAACCCACAACCTCGGTGTTATTAGCACCATGCTCTAACCAGCTGAGCTAATCTCGGGGTCAATGCTGCTAAATGCTTGAGTTTCAGCAGTGCTGGAGGTTCCTGCGGTGGACTAGAATCAGTTGTGCAAGAGGTCCATGGAAAACACTCACCAAATGAACTTGTGAACTCTGTTAGACACCAGCTACCACAGCAATCAACTAAGAGTAGTTAGCAAGTCTCTATCTAGTTCATGGATGAGAACGCTTACAGCTGCTGATTACAGATGCTTTCCCTCCCTTAGAGTCACCCTGAAGGAAGCAAGCCACTGTTTCTTTGAAAAGAGGGAAGAGGTTGTCTCAGAGGTGGGAAGTTGTGTGATATGAGCTCTACAGGGGAAGTTGCAGAGGGTTAGAGCTGCTAAACAGCCATTTAGATGGCCAAACTAGGGGTCGCAGTGAGAGACTGTCTCAAGTTGGCAGCTATCAAGAATTGCTTTTCAGATGAACACTGTGTTTTCTGTATTCAGGATCAGTCCTAACACAAGCCATGAGGAAGCACGTGCACAACACAGTGCGACACATTGGCGCTGCAATGTAGCCCTGTGTCTGCAATGCAGCACATGCTGCAGGTCTCCCAGTATGAAGGAGGATAAATCTGTGCTCTCCAACTGTGTTTGAAAATCCCATTCACAACTTGATGGAGCTTCTCTGTCTGGCAGGTACCCAGCTATAAAGCACTGATGAGACTTGGATTTAACAGCCCCAGTCTGTGTTCTCCCACAGAGAGCAGAAAATTGTGTCCTTAATAAAATTTAAACCAAACAGACCTGGGTGCTTTACATTGATACACTAGGCAGAGTGTTAGCTTTGCAATGCCCCATTCCCATGTGAAGTACATGTGGAGCCTAGGGTGAGGGCAGCAAAGTCCCTCTCCCTTCTCAGCCACTAGGCTTCTCCCTGCAG